TCAAAGCAGCACGTTAACAGCATGCTGTTTCATGTCAACGTTTTAATAGTTTTCTTAGAAGCTAATGGAGTTGTTGGCTGAGGTTCATGTAAGAAGTCGACTTATCTCATGAAGGCTGGTTCACAGTTTGGTTTAGCTAAATTTAGCTTTGTTTATTTTAGCTATGGTTTTGTTAATTAGAGCATTTTGCTCCTTTTTTTAATCCTAATTTAAGCTTGATAATTTAGCTCATTTGAGCTTTTGACTTTGGTTTTGCTACATTGAGCTGTGATTTTGCATAATTTACTTTAAGCTATTGTTTTAGCATGCAGTTTTTAGTGTTGATTTAGCTGCATTTTGCATTTAGCTACTTTTTAAACTACAGTGTAGCTATTTTTTGTGACTTAACTTTTAGCTACAGTTTTGCTACATGTAGATTTTAGCTACTGTTGTGTAAACTTTAGCATTTAGCTACTGTTTTCCTGATTTTAGACTTTACTTACAGTTTGGCTAGTTTAGGCTTTTAGCAGCAGTTTAACGATATGTAGATTTTAGCAAAAGTTTAGTTAATCTGAGCTTTTGATAATGTTCCACTAACTTTAGCATAAAGCTAGAGGTTTGTTGCATTTAGTTTTTATCTACTGATTGTAGCGTTCACCAATAATTATTGTAATTTAAGCTTTTTGCTTCTGTTTAGCTCATTTTAGCTTTAAGCTAGTTTTGTTCAATTTAGTCTTTAGCTGTGAATTTGTGTCATCTAATGTTTAGTTATTGTTGTCCAACATGTAGATTCAAGTTACTGTTCATTAATTTTGCTTTAACTGTTGTTTTACTGATTTTTGCATTCAGCTACAATTTTCCTAGTTTTACCTTTTAGTTATGGTTGTGCAAACTCTAGCTGTTAGCTGAAGTTTTGCTCATTTTGTTTGCCACGTTGTTCCTCATTTAAAGTTTTTTTTTTTTTTTTTTACTAATTTCAGCTTTTAATTTAGCCAGTTTTAGTTTATGTGCTTGTTTTAACAGTTTAATCCATTCATTCTTCAACAGTTTCCAGCTCGCAGCTCTTGGTTCTCTGAAGTGCTTGTCGGTGCCTGCGCAGAACAAGGACCCACAGTTTCACGGCATGTTGTCGGTGAAACTCCTGACAACAGTCAGTTTACTGATACTGACCCACACCATAACTGAAAGCAGCTGTTTTCATGTGTTTACATGAAGAAGGGTTAATGTGACCACAGCCTGGACTTGCAGGCTGAAAATACCTCAACAAAAAGACCTTTGTTGGAAACTGGTGACATTTAGAGATTAAGAAACAGGCCTCCAAGAATGTTACAGTTTGTATCATGGAAAAATACGCAAGATCTTGTGTTTTTACTTTTTGTGACCTCGGCCCACAGATGGTACTGACATTATTTTATCGGCCTCTTTCAGTGTTTATAAAAGTGTGCTGCAGTTAATGGAGTAAATACAGAAACATCTGCATGTCTGCGTCCAGCGTAAACATCTAGAAATAACTTTCCTCCAAATTCATGATTTACACAAACCTACAAGAGAGCCATCTGAGCCACATAAAGAAAACTAAAGGAGCACACACTGTTTGCCAAAGACCTCACGTGATCTGTTGGCACTCGCAGTCTGTGACGGGGATGACTCTCAGCTACTACCTTGAATCTGGTTGACTTTAAAAGTTAGTGGGGATTATTTTAAGAGCAGGCACTAAAGTAATGCAACCATTCAGGTATAGTTAAAGAGGAGGATTTTAGGAATCTTGTAAAACGGGAGCGTTTGTTTCAATGAACCAATAAGTTACATAAGAGTAATGTTGGTGGGCATTTAATAATCCTTAATAATCCCCATCTTCTTTGAGACAGAGGGTGAAGATTATTTAAAAATCTGCCTGGACTTTTAGCTCATCACTCGTAACAATATTGAAACTGTTTGTTCTGATTCTGGGTTTCCATTCTGCTTTTTTAATGCTCTGTCATTTACTAAAATAAATTCAACTTCCTGGTTTCAGGATCAGGTTTAAGATTAATATATTATTATTATTATTATATCTGTTAAATATATATATATTTTTAGAAGAGTGCAAATAGAAGGAAAATAATTGTACATGGCACTGATTTTTAGCAGACAAACCACCTGAAGATTGATGCTGTTGCACATTCTGGTTGTTTCAAAGCAGTTTCGTGTGTGTTTCTTAAGTTAGCTTTTAACTACCTTTTCTAGTATACATCACTAGTCTTTCTGGGGACCAAAGCCTGGTCCTGGTGGAACACCATTTTGGGGTTGGGTTAGGCTACAGAAATGAATGGAAGTCAAAATGTGGTCCTAATAAAGATAGAAATACAAATGTGTGTTGCTTTTACTTCCTGTTTTGTTTTCCTCTAAATCCCTGTTGTTTGGATGCATTTACATATATTTGTGTACTACTGTACATACAGTACTGAGCAAAAGTTTTAAACTGCCTTTTCTTTGTGTTTTATACTTCCTTGCAGTCAGACTTTTTTATTTCTTTTAACATGGAGTAATTCTCCGTCCCAGTCTTTTAAAGACTGTTTTTAGATTTTTGGCTGATTAAAAAACATTTCTTTGGTTCAGCACATTTTCTGAGGAATGTGTCTCATTTGTTAATTCTTTTAACGCTGACCTATGAATCACTGAAGCGTTAAAAAAAACCTCAACAGATCAGCAACTTATAGCCAAGAAACACTTTTGATTTTATTTTATGGACACTTCAACATCAGCCTGTTGAATGGACATGTTTTCTATAAAAAAAATAAAAAAAAACATCAAATACAATTTGTCAGAAATTACTATAATTTGTATTTTAGCAGCAGCAAACTGAGTCCTAAAGAAGTCTGAGCTGAAAATGTTATATATAGACAATCATCTAAAGGATGACGCACCTCTCATGTCCTGTGTCTGGTCTTTGCTTGATGTTTTTTCCTGTTTTTAAAACCATGACTTCGAACTGGAATCATTTCCCCACACCTTAAGTAAAGTGTTTTCACCTGCTATCAGCTGTATTTTATTTTTTGAGGCTACTCTGTTCTTCCTTAAAGTTAAAATTGTGCTATATTTTCATTTTCAAGTCCTATTCTTTTTCTTATTTTACATTTATAGCAGGGGTGTCCAATCCTGGTCCTCGAGTGACACTTTGCAGCATGTTTTACTTGTTTCCTTGCTCCAACACACGGTTGAATTACTTTGAAGGTTCTGCAAAAGCCTGTTAAACACTTATTGATTCAAACCAGATGTGTTGGAGCAGAGAAGCCTCCAAATCCTGGTTGACATTGGCCCTGAATGACCTGGACTGGACACTCCTGATTTATAGGCTGTTTTATGTCTTTATATAGTAGTTATGAAACTCTTACGGTTGTTTTGACCATACAATATGACACATTAAGGCAGGTTGTTGTAACATATAATAAAACCGCACATCTACTTTTTAGGTGTCTTTATAGCATTCCTTTAAGTTAAAATAATGGTTTTTAATAGTCATATTTGAAAATAAGACTGTGAAATAGCATTACAATGAGTAAAATATATGTAAAAGTTTCCATGATAAATAATGTATAAGGGGAAAAAATGTTCAGTAAATTACAAGTAATAGTAATATTTTGTAAAAAATAATCTTTAAAAGTGGCAATATAAATATTTATTGGCTTGTCTGGATACATTTTTCAGATATCTATAATTCATTTCTCAATTAAAAAGAACATTTTACAAATTCAGAAGGGCTTTTTTTCCCCTATCCGCAATCAACATTTACAAAATCTCCATCAATATTCCTTAGACGAATGGAGATTTTCCTTTTTATATTAGATTTTCAACTGTAGACCTATACACGCACACACACACACACACACACACACACACACACATACATATATATATATATATATATATATCTATATATAGATATATATATATATATATATATATATATATATATATATATATGTATATGTGTGTGTGTCACATTTTTATATTCACAGTTATTTCAATTTTACCTGTTTATTGATTAAAAAAGGGTATTCCATTAAGTTCTTGAGATATCCTAAATATTTTTGTAGACAGTTGGAGACAGAATTTACATTCTGGCTAATTATCCAATTACTGGTGTCTGAAATAGATTTTTAACTTGTTATATTATGAATACTGGATATTTCTAATGATGGTTTTACTAGTTAAATGTGTTTGTTTGTATTATTTTAATGTCCAAACTTATTAGACTGAATAATTCAAATAACGTGGTATTTTGTTGTTTTATATTTGGAAATACTAGTTCAACACACCATATTATTATAACAATTGTTAATGAACTCGAATTACTCTACTTTAGTACTTTAAGTACTGTAAAGTCGGTTACTAAGAGTAGGGTTCTACCAGCTAGTTGAAATTGTATAATCAATATCAATAAAGTATTTTCTTAATAGCATTATAGTCTAATAAAAATGTACTCATTTTATGGATGAACTAGTGTAAAGAGAAGACAAAAACTCAACTATTCAATTTAATTTATATGTGCCAAATTACAACAGAAGTCTCAGGGCACTGAACAGAAACATTCATAAATATAAAAATAACACTATTTATCTGAGGAGCAGACCGCTTTGAATTTAACTCCATCGCAGAACTCTCAAATTGAGCAAGCACGAAGGCAACAGTGGAAAGGAAAAACTGACTCATGAGGAAGAAACCTTTAGCAGAACCAGGCTCAGGACAAGCTATCCATATATAAATGCTGAAATTAATATTTTATAAGGCATAAATATTTCCAGAATTACAATAAAAAAATACTGCATTCATTAAGTTTAGGGTTTTAGATTGCAGTTATCTAAACACTGGGAGCAGTTCTCTTATTATATAATAAACCGGCTTGCCATACATGTTGTTTTTCTCTGCCCACAGACGCACATTAGCATTTAGCTTTAGCCCTCGGGCAGTTAGCTCCGCCCCCTGCGCTCTGATTGGTCACATTGTTACTGGCGTTGTCAGCTCGGCTCCGGGAAGCTTTCCTCTCTTCTCAGTCCAGGCTGAAGTTGCTCACAGACGGAGCCTGATTCCAGCGGCAGTCGTCCTTCCCTTTTTTTTGTTTGTTTGTGAGTTCGGAGAGCACCCTAGAGAGACTCCAGCCGGATCCATGCCATAGCACACCGTTTGTGGAAAATGATAATCTGCTTGAATAAAATGGAGTACCCCTTAAGATCGCAGTGCCAGCGAGTACAGAAACAGGTAGGTTATCCTGCTGCCCCCCGGTTCATTCATTTGTCCACAATTCTAAGGGAGAAAAAGGAAAAAACACTTTCAAAAAGCCGCTTTGCAGCCATTTTAGTCTTTAAACTTTTGTTCTTTCACTGTTGGCTGTTAAAGTAGTAAGGTATTTAGCTTGGTTTTTAACACTTGGTAAACTTAACGAAGTAACGGAGCTGCTCGGCAGTTAAAGCTAGCTTAAAAAACACAGCCCAACCGAACTTCCAATCTAAACTCCGCAAACTGTTCACGAAACGGGCTCTTTTTGGAGTTTGGGCCTAAAATTATTATCAATGTGGGAAATTAGATTCATGAGGTTTAAATCGGCGTCGTTTTACTTTTAGCATCAGGAGAGAGAAGGTTTCCGTCTTCAGCCGTTGGTGTCACGTAAAACCCGCAACGTTCCGTCGGTTTGAGACGAAAAACGCAAAGATGTGCGGTTGTATGTGACGTCTGTTAACAGCAGCGACACGGGTGTCATTTTCATTAAAGCTTGATTATTATTTTTTTTTTTTTTTTGAAGATTAACGTGATTCCAGTATGATAGGAAGCTGCAGGTGAAGGTGACGTCTTCTGAGCTTTCAGCGTAAAAAAAACCCCAAAGTGCTCAATGCGCTGTGAAGTAATTTTAAAGTATTTAACACCGTAGTGTAAACGTGTTAATGATGAACTTGTATATTCAAGGATTTTTACCTCCCACTTGCAGCCCATCTTAGTTTTGGGGATCCTTATTGTGCTGTTTTTTTTTGTTTTTTTTTTTTGGCTGAGGAGGCCTGCCAATCAAAGTTGTTTTTCTCCCATACTCTTGTTTTTGCTTTTTGCAACAGAAAGGGGGCGCTGTCCTGATTGCGGCATCATCTCACGCCCCCCCCCACCAAGGTCCTCTGCAGACCTGAGGCCAGAAATGGAACAAAAGAGACAGCAGTGCAAGCCTAAACTCTGCTTTTAAGACGAGTTTAGCTTATTTTTGTAAACCTTTTGACTTCTATACTAGGGACAAGCAGGAAATGTGCAGCCGCCTAAAGGTTCCTGTTAAAATGTGCAAATGAATTATTAACCCACTCCCTCTTAATTTGCTCATTATCAGTGAAACTTGTTCTTGATCTACCTGCCTGCCTTGTTTACACGAAGACCCAGTCGCTCAGGGCTTCATGTAGGTTTGTCTGCACTTTTCCTGTCCTGCAACACAGTCTTTTGTTTGTGTTGGTCGTGCTCGATCTCCCCTCTCTGCAGCTGGTTTGATTTGCATTACACTCTTTATTTAAGCTCAGCTTGCAAAAACAACAACAAAAAATCATCTGCTTGTTTCCCCTCTGGAGGGGATATGATAAGGATGGACCTGCTCCAGGCTCAGTCGGAATGTAGATTGGATGTCCTCTTCCACCACATGCTACACAAATGCATATTCGCCGCACTGGCATCATTTTTCCGTGTGTTTGTGCGTCGCCTCGGTGTCACCTCGGCCCTGCGCTCCACTTCATATTGCTGCTTGCTCAATGCTGCTGTTTTGTCAGCCTTTGTCTGCATTTACCTTTTCTTCCCCTCGATGACATCACTTCTGTTTTTCATGTCATCCCTGCACCATGAGCCTCTCTGATCAATATACAAATGACCTCAGGTTTAGGGAGATTATTTTTTTAATCAAATAATCTAATCAATCTAATCAAATAACTTGTAGATTTATGACTTAATTTGTTTTTCCTGTCAATGCTTTGCAGGTTAACGGGTTTAAACACACCTAACAGTGCTCTGATGCAGACATTCTGGTTTTTGATCAGTTTCAAAATGAGGTGTTGCTGACTGCGCAGTAAACACAAATCATAGCTTTATGTGCATAAATGTGTGCAAAATGTTTTGTAATTCCACCCACACTTAGCTTGATGTTTGCTTGGTGCTTTATATGTCCACCCACACACTCGTTACCATTTTTTACATTTTGATGTGGATGATTTTTCTGTATGTGAGCGGTGAGGAGTGCATGACCTTGTTAAAAAGCACTGCCTGTGTGCTTTGCTTTTAGGTGATAAAGATGAACCTGGACATAGACGAGGAGACTCGGTGTTTAAGCGTAAATTAAGATGGAGCTAACTGAAATAGATTCAGCTGGACTCTTTACGTTTCGCTTTTGTGTGTTGTCAGCTGAGTTTATTACGTAGGATGTGTCATTTCCTGCATGAAATCCACAGTAGTTCCTGTTTCAGTTTAACGCGTCTGATTTTGTCTGGACATGTTTGAGATTGCGAAAAAAGTACCAATTTCTACCCTAAACCAGTGATAACAAATTCTGTCTCCTTACTCGGCCCCAGAGGAAGTGTCGTCACTAAACTCTGCGGTCTACACTCATCTCCAGGCCAGCGGTCACTCTTTCAGGGATGAAGATGTTCACATCCTTGATAGAGAGGAACGATGGTTCGATAGAGAAAGGAGTAAAGGAGGCCATCTTTGTGAAGAGAAACAGTCCATCATTAAACAGGGGCAGAGGCCTACGTGTTCAACTGTCCCCCTCTTACAATGCTCTTCTTGCTAGTATCACTCAGTCCTCTGTGAATAGCAAGTGGCCATCAAAGCACTAACGACCTGTTTTTAGGCCAAAGGTCCTCCTTTATCATGTGAACGGCTGGTTTTGGCTAAACTGTTTGATCCACTATGAGAAGGGGCTATTTATAAAACTGAGTTTAGTGCAGCTCCTCAGTCTGACAAAGTTTTTTGGACAAAAGACAAAATGTTTCAACATTGTTGTTTATTTATTTATTTATTTATTTTTAATTCCTCCAGAGGACTGACTTAAATTTGTTAGATTTTTGTACATGGATTATTGAGTATGCATATGTTGTTGTCACTAATTCTGCTTTCCTATTTTGAATGTTTTTGGGAACAGAAATGACAAAAGGTCACTCTGTTCATGGGCCTGGAGGTCAGAGGTCAGCTCATGGGTCGGTAAAAGTAGCAACAACATTTTGCAGATTTTTTTTGTTGGAAGTTTTTGTCAAGGAGTCAGTGAGTTCTCCATTCCAAACACGTTTGAAGCTACCGCAATGCCGTGTGTGTGTGTGTGTGTATATATATATATATATATAATGTGTATGTGTGTATATATATATA